ATGAACTACTTCCTCGAACGTTTGAATCAATGCTTCAAGATTTGCGGGCGAAGAACGAGGAAGGTTACGAATACATCAGCCTAATCGATAAAGAAATGTGGACGAACGCATATGATGGTGGATATCGATATGGATACATGACGACCAACTTGGCTGAGGCAATCAATTCAACATTAAAGGGTGCACGTCACTTACCTGTAGCGGCTTTGGTAAAAACTACATATTTTCGTTTGAGGGTGCTTTTTGCGAAGCTCGGGGGACAAGCTCAAACCTGGATGCAAGGCGGTCATGTCTATCACCCTATATTAGTTGCAGATCTACATAAAAAAATTGCTGCATCAAATGGAATGTCTGTAACAAGCTTCTCTAGAAGTCATGAAATGTTTCGTGTCACAGAGTTGCCCCGACCTCTTCAAGGGATTGAATTTGTGTCGCTAAGAGTAAATCTAAGAGACAGAGCGTGTCACTGCGGGTTTTTTCAAGCTCTGAAGTATCCATGCTCTCATGTGATAGCAGCTTGCTCGCATACACGTCAAGACTATAATCATTTTGTGGATCTCGTATACCTATTATCTGAAGTTTTTAAGGGATACGAATTTGAGTTTCCCCCATAGGTAATGATAAAGTCCCTGATGAGGTTCAAGATTGGATTCCGATTGTACCAAATCCGAGTTTATTGAGGGAGCGTGGTCGTCCAAAATCCAATCGAATTCATTGCGATATTTAAATATAACATGTCCACTTCTATTGTCATCAAGTAACAGTTGATGAGGAAATGATGTATTTGTTTATCAAATAATAATTCTTGTATTTTAATTTACATTTACTTCAAGTTAATGCCATTCGATAATCGCTGATGAAGATTAAAAAAATGAACACAATTATTAAATTTTATCAAATTAATAACAATTTGATATTTAAATACAACAAACTTACAATAAGAATAAAATGGTAAATGATAACCAAATTACAATAACTGATATTAAATGGTAATAAACAAAATTAACTAAAATATATTAAAAAAAAGTCCAACAAATTTAACAAAATAAAATAAGTATTAAATGAGAAATAATAAAAAATTACAATTAAACAAAAAATCTATCGATGCCTACGTCGCGAATGTGTTCCGCATGGCGGTGGCTGTCGGTCTCGAGGAGGATTTCTTTGTATCACTGGTTCTGACTCCTCGCTGTCATCATCATCGTCATCGTCGTCATCCTGAGCAGGTACATCAGGTTGATGAGGAGCTGATGACGATGAAGCACCTCCATAGAATAAGGACCCTGGAGGTGTATGACTGACTATCCCACCGGCATACAAAAACTGGGAAAACCCAGACATCGCTGAGTGTGAAGACTGTACAGGAGGTGTCTGTGTTGCGACAATGGGTGGTGAGGATGAACCCGCCAAATATCTAACATATGAACCCCAAGTCAGATCTGCAAACATAGACCCATAATAACCTCCAGGAGGGGTCATCTGTGACGGTGGCGAGATCATAAAACCAGGTGAAGGCGGCAGCATCTGGTAATAGAAAGGCGATGGCGGCATCATATATGGTTGCGGTGGCTGCTGGGAAAGTCCTGCTGGTGCAGCTGAGGATGAACCGGAAGCACATGCTCTCCGTCCATGAGTCGGGGGACGATGGTGCTGTGTCGGTGAACGTCTCTGTCGACGTCGTGGAAAGGTCTGCCCTCGTGCATCCTCGGGAAGTAGAAACGGTTTCCCGTAACTGTTGAACCACTCATAATAATCCTCAGCATACATCAAGAGGTCATCAAAAATGGGCTCTCTACGGGGAAGGCGTCGATGTCAATCCTCCCACAACACGACCCACCCATGATGCCTCACCAGCCAATCTGTATCTGTCTTGCCGCGTCTATATAAGCTATGCAACTCGTCCATATTGCGAGGTGCTTCCGGAATTGGTTGAAAACAACCAAACTGCCGGAGCACGCGATCAGTGGAGTGCCACTCGACGGTCGCATAACAGATCAGAGGGACCATCGCCATCCAAACATCTGATGGACCCCTCAACTCAGGTGGGATCACCGGCCTCACATCATCAGTAGAATATGGCACCCATTCAAACTAAAATAAATAATATATAATTTTTATCAAAATAATAATCTAATTATATAACTATAATCTAAAATCGATTTTTAAACATTAAAATTCATACATGTGTGCCAGCCTTCTGATCGATTAACACCCTAATTTTTTCTAAATCATCAGGTAGCTCCTGATGATTTTTCCTATCAGTAGACCACCTATTCAAGGAAAAAAAATTGTTATACGCTGTATAAAATTATTAATATAGAAAATCAGGTTTATAATTACCTCAGAAGTAGTGGAAATACGAATGGGTTCTTCACAACGGGACATAAAAAGGGCAATCGATACCATGCCCAAGACTGCAGCAGCAGGAGACATCTGTCGATAGCATTACGCCTGTAGGCAGTGGCTCCACACATCTCTCTGTACAACAAAACCAAAACTGCCGAGCACCAACTGAATGATTCGGCGAGATGAAAGTCGCTAAGATGTCGCAACCACATACAGTGAACTAGGTTGCGCGATTTTTCCGGCATCAACAACCCTCCTATCAGCTGCAATATGCATGCCCGTGCATACATCTTAACCTCATCCTCAGAGGCGTCTGCGCTCAACTCCCGAAAATTGGCATCTAACCAATTTAACGGTATTCTACCTCCGATAAAATTTTCCGGGACACGTTCTAGACTATCCCGACACAAAGTAGTCCAAGAACCGGAAGCTATCCCCGATATCACATCTCCATCCACCGGAAGCCCCAGGTGCATAGAAACATCCTCAAGCGTGATCGTGCACTCTCCGCACGGAAGATGAAATGTGTGGGTCTCCGGCCTCCACCGCTCTACTAAGGCAGAAATCAAGTATGACTCTATCTTACAGTGACTCTGATATCTACCTATGTAACCGAATCCAACCTTTACTAAATACGACAAGACACGGCTGAGTATCACTAACTTAAGATTCCTAATAAAAAGATCTAATACACGGTCATTCTCCTAAAAGTAAATAATTACAAAAATTAATTCTTAATATAATAATCATGTATTAAATGAATAAACTAATTATTACTAATAATTTAAATTAAATTAAAACGTTAAAATGTTACCGTATCAGTAAAGTGTCGAGATATTTAATTCTTAATCTAATAATCATGCATTAAATCAATCAACTAAATATTACTAATAATTTCATTTTAATTAAAACGTTAAAATGTTACCGTATCAGCAAAGTGTAGAGATATATGATTTCCATCCGAGCGAAGTAGACTATCTTCTATTATATATCTGCACAAGAATTATATTAATAAAATATTAAATAAAGTAAAAACATAATAATAAAAATATTTTAAAATATATCTTAAAAATAGAGTATTTAAGAGAAATTTAGAGAATTTGGTGTGATAAAAATGATTGAGGATGGGGTATTTATAGGGAGATGGGGACGTGAAGGGTTGAGTATTTAGGGGTATAGCACGCCCCCTGCACCGCGCTATACCTCACGTGTCAGATATCTAGGTATAGCGCGGATCAGGGGGCGCACTATACCCACGTGGCGCCAGATCACCGTATATTGCGAGGCAGGGGGCGCGTTATATCCACGTGGAGTCAAATCAGCATATAGCGCGGTTCAGGTGACGCGCTTTCCTGTTAAGGGTGTTAGATCGAGAAATATAGTCTAACCAATGTTAGATCGATAATAATACCGATCACCGGTAATATACCGGGAAAATCGCAGGGATTTATGGGGTCAAAATAATTGGCTAGAGAAGTTGGTGATTGCAATTTGCTAGCTGTTGTCTTCCTCACCTAGCTGCGTAAGTTAAAATCTGAGTACTCATCAGCCCACCCAAAGGGACCATATTTTGACATGTCCCAAATATACGCGTAAACTAATCTCATTATGGTTGGGTGTGTAGAGAAGAACAGCTAAGTTGAAGACTTTTCCTATATAAACCCTTTAATCCTAACAAAAGCATAAGCAAGCGCCAATTATTGTTTCCTGTGCACTAAAATCCAGTTTGTGTTTCTGATTTTAGGTCTTGTGTTTCAAGAACTGGCTTACACAGAAGAAACATTTGGGGAGGAAACCATCAAGAACCAAGCTGTGGTTCTTGCCCTCTATGACGCCTTAAACACTCGAGACGTTCAAACCGTTCACAAAATCCTCGCTCCCGACCTTGAATGGTGGTTCCACGGCCCCCCTACTCATCAGTTTTTGATGCGCCTTCTCACTGGAGCTTCTTCCCACGATTCCTTCCGTTTCGACGTTGACCCGCTCTCACTCACCACCTTTGGATCCACCGTTTCGACGTTTTCCTATACATTCGGCTTTGGAAATATGTTAGGAGATACGTGGGTTCAACATAAGAAAACCTCCCTGTTCTTCTTACCCCACCCTCTCTTGTTTCCATTGTGCAATAAAAGCCTGGTATTTTTATAGTATTCCTGCTGCCTCTACTTTTAAACTCTATTTTCTCCCCTCACTAAATATACCTGTTGAAGTGATTATGACCCGTATCATATCTAATCTTAAATCCAATTCTTAACACAAGCATATGCCAAAACACAAGGAATGGGATATGAAGTGATTCATATGGATATATCCCTTTCTACCATAAAGAAAATTCAGAATGTACTAAATAAGACTATTTGTAAGGATCATTCCTTGAATGGTTTGTAAACAAAAACAGCCGCCGGCCACTTAATTTTGGAATATTAGCTCAAACTTATAGAATCCAAGGAACAATTACATATGCTAAGGTTATGCCCCCTTATCAAAATTTGCTATTTCTTTTTTTATTCAAAAACTAACATCGTCTTTTTAGGTGATACTGATAATATTGTTCATCATTTCTCTAAATACTCAAAGATCCTTCAAATGTGTTTTTGGGCACACAGCAGAAGAGAGCTCATACAACCTTAGGAGAAAAAAAAAACTCTTCCATAGAAGATTATGGTCATGGACCGTCATTTTCATTCATAATGACCAGCAAAGCTATAATGAAGGCATAGTCAACATCCGGATAAACTTTAACCTTGAAAGTTTCTTTCCCCTTGCAGCTCTCCCATGTGAAATTATGCCTAACCTCTGCAATCACTGTATTCCCCCTCTTCACTTTGAACGACAGCGAAGACAAGCTTGCACTTAAATGAAAATCTCTCCCCCCATTCCCCAAGTAAACATCCTGATTGTTTTTTATCATCATTGCATTCGACCGTCGCACACAGCACAGAAAATGCTTACTCTCCGAGCTCTCTCCTTGATGAATCACCCATTCATGTTTCCACGACAATGTCTGCGCATACTCCCAACAAAAATATCTTAAGTAAATACGACCTGATCCAACCACTTTTAAAGTTCCAAGGACCAACTTGCATACGTACCTTTGAGCGCAGGGTGGCGACGGGCAAGCCAGCAGGATCTCTCATCACCCGTTTCTTCTGGAATTTCCAGACACCACCGTCGACTTGGAGGAGTAAATTCCCGGTTGCATCAAACACTTGATAGTGATACTTAGAGAATGATAGTAATCTCTTCTTCACCCGAAGCTCCATCGTGTAAGGCATGCAGAATCTTTCCTCCACTACCTTCACCATCTGATCGATTTCCATCCTCTGAGAATCTATCGCCAGATTGCTGCTCTTGAGAAACATTAGCTTTATTCCATTGCAAACGCCGCAATCATGTTAGATCTGTTTGCTTTATTTTATGATCCAGTTCACACTTTAACTATTTGATACCAAATGTAAAAAAAGGCTCAAATTCTGATTTTGGTTCCTCTACAGTACTTAAAATTAAGATTTAGTCCCCGTTATTTGGCATAACTTTTATAATTTCATCACCTTTTCCGTAACCCAAAAAAATCCATGTTAAATTTTTTGAAGTAACAATTGAGATTATAAAAGTAGAGGTGAAATTATGCCAAACTAGTAAGGACTAAATCTCAAACAGAACATAGTACAAGTATCAAAACCAAAATTTGACCCATAATATATGGTAGGCAATGCTTTTTCCTCTCTCTTTTTCTTTTCAAAAGATTCAAACTAGAATACTTATCCTTTACGTAAATTAATTAAAGCCTTTTTGGAAGGGGGAGGATTAAGCAAAGCAGATGGAAACAAAATTTGAACATAAAGGTTTTTAAAAAGATGTACCTACGTTATGCTAACCATCTGTACCACAACTTTCAAAACATGAATATTATATTGTATTAAAAACTGAACATTGCATGCCAGGCTCCAATTTTATCAAAATTTTCCATGACAAGTTGATGAGAAGATATATATATATAAGCCAAACAAGAACGTACCTTTAGTAGAGAAGTGGATATCTGCAGGTTAATCTCAGGGATGAAGACGGGACAAGGGAAAGAATCAGGGTGCCAATGGTGTTATGATTTTTGAAGAAAAATACCACTTTTAGTATCTAAATTTAGAATTTTTTTTCTTCCTAACAACTAATGGTAATATTTACAAATTTTGAACCAATAGAAAAGTGATGAATATAGTTTAGATTTTTCTCCTAATTTTAAGCCTTGAGAATATTTTGTTTATTTACATTAAAATTGAAAAAAGGAATCTATAAATGCTTTTTGTACTTTTACTGTTTCACTATCCAAGATCTTAGTTTGCCAATCCCCATGAAAACCACATAAGAAAAGAAGAAAGCAACGTATAATTCCATGAAAGCGCTAGAAAAAGCAGATCCATTCTTTTTTATAATAAAAAAATCAGAATTCAAATAAGCAAGAGAGAATTTTTTTTTATGGGAAAATCTAACGAAAGGCCAATACTTTGCAAAAGCAGGCCCATCAGACAAGCTCCACTGAGCAAAACACGTCCAGTAGCCGCATTGAGTTGGATTGTTGGTCAGAGCAAGTTAAAGTGTTAAACAGAAGGAAATGGATAGCTGGAATGACCCGGATCATATTCCGTTGGCTCGTGGTAAAAGTATGGCTCGAGGAGGCAAAAGCTGGTGATACCAATATGCAGGTCCTTGTTGGTCATATGTATTGCAGTGGCTATGGTGTTCCTAAAGGTCACTTCTTTTTGTTTAGTTTTCCATATTAATTTTGGTATTATGGAATTGTTTTGCATGTTTGATGTGGCTAAACTCAACTTTGGAGGGTCAACACTCATTTCCTTGTAGTCTTCTAATGCCTTGAATTAAAGGGTGATGCAAACTAAGGTATGATGGGAACAATGAACACAATTGCAGACTCTGCTGCATTTGAAAATAAAAGTTACGAATACATAGTTGTTGTGGGTCAATGCCTCCTCACTTGCCAATAGAGAGATGGTCATTTCTTTAACATCTTTCTTTCAACTCTCTAATTTTATATTGAAGTTGTAGGTTGTTATGACGGACAGATTCGTATTTTACAGAATTTCATTCAAGGCCATACATTTTGGATGCTCTAAGTGTTTCAAAAGAAAGTAAACAAGCCCCTTTATAGTTAAACATGCATACATACAACAAAAATAGGAATGGATCAAACATGTTCTTATACGTAATACACATTCTTCTATGCATACCAATCACTTCTCGAGATGTTATCGTTCCTCAAGGACAATGTTATCTATCTACCTTCTCGTTTGTCTTTCCTCCATTCCCATGGCTTCTCAGGGTTTGCTTGTGCCCAAAGTCCCATTCGCTTTGCCCGAGCCTTCTTTTCCCACTAATATTACATACGTGCAAAGATCATAATTAAGAGTTTTAACTCGATGATGTACAAGATCGAACAAAATTGTCATTTACTTACAGCTGCAAGTTCAGCCCGTTGGTCGTAGGCCATATAATGCCATGCAAGTCCTTTCTTCAGCATTACTTTCTGTTTGAGAGTCGGATTAGCAGATTAATTTGCTCTTACCAGGTAAATCAAGTTCGAGCTTACAAAAAATAGTATCTACCTGTAGAAATATGCCATTGCAGTATACATCTGCAACGCAGCGACCGTAACGATCTTCCCCATAGACGAGCACTCTCAAACACTTCCCATGAACAAGCTTAACCAATTCATCTTTTGCTTCTTTCCCATACGGCATTGCATTCTCAGGTGCATCTATACCCCTGTTTATATCATCTCAACACGCGATTACATTTCAGTATACAAAATGGAACACCAAAGTCCTGAGGGCAGATTATTTTACCTTAGTCGAATCCGATACTTCCGAGCAAGAATCTCTTCGTTTTGAATATTTATGACCCTGGTGATAGACGGATGTTATTGATCTCGAACGAGAATAGTACTAAGCCAAAAAAATTAATGAAAAGATTCGACAAGAGCAAGTTGAATATAGCTATAACTGGTATCCCGATTCGATAATTTTCTGGCGGAGTTCATCAGCCCTGGCATAGTTCTTCTTAGAACGTGCTTTCGACCTTCGTTTTGCAGCCATAAGAACATCTCTAGGTACATTTGATGACTCCCTAGGATCAGCAGTATCCACATACACATTTAAACCATCACCATCCGGTACCGTTTTCCCATCTACCTGATTAAGTTAGATATGTTTTCAGTATCAATCATCCAATTCAATGTGAACCAAAATGATTTAATAGATCATATACTCACTGGTAGTGTATGCATTTCAAACTCCACTCCTTCAGGCAATCTCGCCGGGACTCCGGTAGAAATTTCCACGAGGATAGAAGGACGAGGAAGACCGTAGAATTCCAGCAAGCCCTAAGCACATATGGAACACAAAACATCACTGCAATGCATCAACTCGAAAATGGAACAAAGTGTTTGATTCTATTAGCCTTTAGTACCTCAACATCTGCCTTTTGATGTCTACTCAATGTGTCAACAATAAGCCTAGCAACCTCTTCAGGGGTTTTTGGTGGGGGTTTTGCATCTTTCCATGCCTGCAGTAGCTTTGCATACCTTAATGTTTTAACACATCAAACAAATCAGACAATTTCTTAAAGGAAAAAAAAAAGAAATCAGAGTTATTCAACAACAGAAGATTGTTGATGGTATGTGAGTTACCATTTGACCTGAGCCTTCCTTAATGATACAACATGTTGACTGAGATCTTCAGGAACCTGAAACCCAGTTTGCAGTTTGCAGCTCAAAAATTTGAACAAAGAAAATACAAAAAATATTTACAACGATTACTGGGATAATGATGAAACCTACCTGGGAAGTGATTTCAAAGTTGAGGAGATCATGAGCAAGAGCTGAAACCCCAGGAGCTGTGTTGGTGGTGTAAGGAGGTCCTACTGAATCAGAATCCCCACTGGTGGTGGGTTTGCAACATTTTCCATATAAGAATCTAAGAGCGTTTCCCATCTTGAAATCTTCCCTCTCAACCTAAAACTTTTGCTGTAGCAGAGATATTGAGGAGTAGATTAGATAAAGCTCCTGAGAAGACTTCTGGTGGACTTGTGCACCTTTTCTTAGTCAAAGAAAAGCAATCAATGAATTTTTATGTATATTCCTGTAGCTACTACTGATCTTTACTATCAATATTTATTAGTATCTTGTTACCTCAATGCTTTAATAACTCTTCATATTGTATTTTATATATTTATTAGTATCATTTTTAAGTGCTTTAAACTGATAAATTCTAACTCATGCTTCTTTTGAACAAGCTTAGCCAACTCTTCTTTTGCTTCTTTTCCCTAAGGAATTCAACTCTCCTGTTCGCATTCCATAATTTATTAATTACTAATTAGAAACGTGTAAATTCAAATTTTTTATATACTCAAGATAATTAAAAAGAAACTCACTTAAAATTAAAATAATTAGAAAATAGACTTAAAGTGTATCTTACTATCTTATTCAACACTTGTTAATATAATATAAATAATATAAATTATCCAAAAAAATATAAAATTATATAAGTGTCCCAATTTATTTCATATACATAGAAACTAGGGAAAATTGGACTTGAAATTTATTAAAGCATTTTTTTCTATTATCACAAGCTACCTACCTATAGTATTATTTTATATAGTATATGTCATGGCCCAAATAATAGAGAAAAAAGAAGAAGAAAGATTTTCATTTTATGGATAATTCCCCGTCTAGCTCGGTTGGTAGAGCGCAAGGCTCTTAATCTTGTGGTCGTAAGATCGGGTCTCACGGTGAGTAATTCATAATTGCCGGAGGTCTTTCATGAAAGTTGCTCTCAACCTAGCGTTGGGGACAATCTACTACCCTACCTCCCCTTACTCCATTATATATGAGAATAAGATCAACTAATTTTTTTTTATTGAGCATTTTATTCCTCCAAAAAATAACCCAGCAAATATTTGCTACATTTTATAATCAGCAAACAAATCAGAAATTAGCAACGACATTAGAAATTCCTACGTAAAATTAGAATCAACACCTTTTAAATGAGCATTATTGTTGTTGTTGTTGTTCAAATTTAGAATATTGGTATATTAATGAGTTAGTAAAACTTAATTTCTAAGCTTTGTGAAAACTATTAGGCATTGGAGTAATTAAGCAAACACACATAAAGGCAGTTTTGTTTTATCATAATATTATAAAAGAGAGCGCCATAATGGCGAAGGCATTGAAACACACACATGCATAGTAATTAAGGAAACAAACAATACGGTAATGAAGCTCCTCTTCCGATTTATTGTACAAGAAGTAGTGCATGGATAAGTATTAGTTTGAATAGGCGATGGAGGTTTCAGCACCTCTATGCCTTTTTATCGGGGAGTCTTGACGGTTCCTCCTTCCATTGATTTGAAGATGGGTGTCAATGGGTACATGATCATCATCGACGCCCCTCGCTATGGCTTTCTTCCGATCACGAGTGTTTTGGGTGTCCAAGAAATGTGTATTTGCATTCCCATCACTGCTATAAAGGCAAGGGTGCTGTTCAATCCCCTGCTCTTGTAAGAACTTCCTAACTTCCTTCACAAGCTGTTTGTTGGTTAACCCTTTGATCTGATTCAGTACCTTCACCACTGCATACGTAAACGCCCCATGAGCTTTTCCTTCGGTAAGCGGGCTCCCCTCCAAATCTGCTGATGTCTCATTAGCTTGGCATCCACTCAAAAGAAGACCTTCATCCTCCGTCAGTGACCTCGACTTCATCACCGCCCTTTGCTCATGCTCTGGTCGGAATGTGATGCTCACTTCTTTGTTAAAGATTGTTGACAAACCAGAGCCAATGTTTTCCACAATATTTGCCCCGATGCTTACGGCATTTGCAACACCTATCGCAATATTTGCTCCAGTTTGGATGGCACCCGTAACCGAATGCAGGCAATCCATTATGGATCCAATAGAAATTCCCCTAGACTTGTAGTAAACTGGAAGTGGTATACCCTTCATTCTAGTAGGTCCAATTTGTTCTTTATCTTTGTCAATTAGTCCGCCACTGTGGCATGAATCTGATAGGATTGTGAAGCTTGTTCCTGGTTGTAGCTTTTGAATCAAGCGCCTCAAGTCCATGTCTGCACAACCATGATTAGATACAGATATATAAAACAACAAAAGGAAACACGAAATACGAAAGAAACCTACTGGTGATGAGATTTAAATCACAAGGAACGATTGCTTCTTCTTCCTGGTAAGATTCTCCAGGTTTCAAGGATGAAAAGGTTGTTCCATGTCCACTGAAGTGAAAAAACAGTATATCACCTGATGCAGCAGCATCCACCATCTCCTCCAGTGCAGCCATAATGTTTGCACGAGTAGGCAAACCCTCAGGCGACGTGCCTGGTTCATCAACCAAGTACTTAACATTGTCTTGATTAAAGCCAAATTCGTTCACAATCAACTCTTCCATGCTTGACACATCATTGATGCATCCCTGCAACCTGAGCTTGGTGTTTGGGTAGTTGCATCCCACCAGAACAGCTCTCTTCCTAACCTTAGACATCTTTGTTTGTCTTCTCTTGTGTTGCTAATTGTCTTGTGCTTTGGATGTTGCACCTACACACCTATATTGCAATTATGAAATGAAGAGGGCAATTCAAGTTGCAAGAAACAACCATTTAAACATCCGTCAACTAACAATCGTATTCTACAAGAGAAATGAAACCCAAGTTGGATGAGAGTGTTACACAAAAGCCATTGTTGGCTTGCTGCTATAGATGTCTACATACATAAAATTACCAAAGACGTAGTTCTACGGCCACACAAGGTCGACAGAAACCCTAAGCTCTTGTGGATCTTCCACTACAATTTCCAATTCATACTTGGTGGCATCGTCAGCGGCAGTCAAAGACATCGGAGAGGAGGGAGCTGGTTGTGTTGCAAAACCAAAGCTTGGTTCATGACGGCGAACCAGTTCAGACAACAAAAGTTCAAGCGAAGCAATGAAAACCAAAACCAAATGATTATTTTCTCCGAAACAAACCCTACGTGTTACTTTAGAAACTCGATATGTTGAAGGCTGGAGGGTGAACCAGTATTTATTTATATCTGAAAACATGGAGACAGAACAGAACAGGTGAAGTTAATTAGTGGGGTATGGCTCATAGTTTATGTAGCTTACCTGTGGCTGTCTAAGTCGGCTGGCATTAATTGGACCATCAGGCCACTTGTTTTTCATTTTTCAGGGCGGTTTTTTAGTGTTGCTGTACTTGCCGCCGCTCTTTTTTTTTCCCCATGGCTTTTCCCTCCAAAACCATGAGTAACACCCACTTGCCAACTAGTTTGCCTGCCAATATTTATTTACGTAAACTAGATTAATGTCTCATCATTATAAGTTATAGTTTCGTTGAATCTATTAATTATTAAAAGTTATTGAATAATCTTTAATTATAGATGATTATTATATTGAGTCTCATGATTATTAAAAGTTATAAAATAATCATTTGACTATTCATATATTTTAAACTAGTCATTTTGTGTTAAAAAATTATCGGTCGTCTGAACTGAACGTTAACTTACTGACTAAGATATGATAAAATCATAATTTAATGATATCTACTGGCACCTTCATTGCTTTCAAGCACTAGCTCGACAATCTAATATTTTAAGCACCAGCTCGACAATCTAATATTTCAAGTACCAGCTCGACGACAATATAAACGAAGAGTCAATCTATAAAATATAACTTAAAAGGTTCAAATATCAGATTTTATCATATCCTAGTTAATATACTAACGTCCAACTTAAACGACCACTAATTTTTAATGAAAAATGACGAGTTTGGAACATATGAATAATCATGTAATCATTTTGTAACTTTTAATTGTCATGCCTCAACAAAACAAACTTCTATAGTCGATGGATTATTTTGTAACTATTAATAGTAATAGGACTTAAAAAGTAAAATTCTATAGCCAGAGAACCATTTGTACTTTACCCAATTTATTTTTTGTTAATATATTATTGGGTAAACTACACGTTTAGCAATTCAACTATAACTTTTCTTCTATTTTGTTCACCTAACTATTTATTTTTCAAAATCATATTTAACGTTACATTTTGGTTTCAATTTGACCACACACCGTTAAAAAAATAACATAAATGCTTATGTGACATTATCTTATGATGACACGTTAGAATCATCGCTAATTTTTTAATGGTGGGTGACTAAAATGAAACTAAAACTAAATGTTAGGCACGACTTTGAAAAAGTATTAGGAAGGTGTCCAAAACAAAATAAAAGTGATAATTAGGTACTAAATATGTAGTTTATCCTATATTATTTAGTGGGCTGACCACTCATGACATCTAAAATAAGGCCTACAGTACAAAATCAAGTAGCCCGACGTCGTCGTAAAAGAGAAACAAAAACATCTTTTACAAAACCCTTTGTTCATCCTTACAAAACCGAAACCTCGACAGCCACGAAGCAGCCTAACAGAAACGAAAAATGGGAAAGAAAGCAAAAACCTCAAGGAAAGGGAAGAAGGCATGGAGAGCTAACATAAGCACTGAAGAAATCCATGATTTCTTCGAGAAATCCACGAAAGATGCTCTCTCTGGGGGTTCTTCTTCGTCATCGACAAGTCTAAAGGTCTTGTTTTTTTACTCTCTACACCCATTTTTTCTTATAGAATTTCAGTTTCCTTAAATGGGTTTTCTTTGTTTTATCAGATCTTTCTGTTAAGAAGAAGATTGAGAAGAAAAGAGAAAAGGTATTGCTAGTGGGCAGTATATTGAAAAAGAACTCTTTTGTTGAAGTAGTACCCTCTTCGAAGCACAAGAGTTCTAAGAAGAAAAAGGAGGCTTTGAAAGCTGAAGATGTTGTAGTTCAAGATGCTCTCAAGGTGAGAACTTGTTGAAGATGTTGTAGTTCAAGATGCACCCGTAACCGAATGCAGGCATTCCATTATGGATCCAATAGAAATTCCCCTAGACTTGTAGTAAACTGGAAGTGGTATACCCTTCATTCTAGTAGGTCCAATTTGTTCTTTATCTTTCTCAATTAGTCCGCCACTGTGGCATGAATCTGATAGGATTGTGAAGCTTGTTCCTGGTTGTAGCTTTTGAATCAAGCGCCTCAAGTCCATGTCTGCACAACCATGATTAATTACAGATATATAAAACAACAAAAGGAAACACGAAATACGAAAGAAACCTACTGGTGATGAGATTTAAATCACAAGGAACGATTGCTTCTTCTTCCTGGTAAGATTCGCCAGGTTTCAAGGATGAAAAGGTTGTTCCATGTCCACTGAAGTGAAAAAACAGTATATCACCTGATGCAGCAGCATCCACCATCTCCTCCAGTTCAGCCATAATGTTTGCACGATTAGGCAAACCCTCAGGCGACGTGCCTGGTTCATCAACCAAGTACTTGACATTGTTTTGATTAAAGCCAAATTCGTTCACAATCAACTCTTCCATGCTTGACACATCATTGATGCATCCTTGCAACCTGAGCTTGGTGTTTGGGTAGTTGCATCCTACCAGAACAGCTCTCTTCCAAACCTTAGACATCTTTGTCTGTCTTCTCTTGTGTTGCTAATTGTCTTGTGCTTTGGACGCTGCACCTACACACCTATACACACACACTAATTAATCTCTACATGCTCCATCATGTGATAAAGATGATAACATATGCTGGTGGGGACAATGGTTCATTATAATACTGGTTTGAACCAGTACATGAGTTCCCGTTTAATATTTTATTGTATAAGTTTATGGTCAGTGATTATGATTCTTAATCATGGTTTTCAGAACCGGACCGGTTAGCGAACTGGTCATGTTACCGGTTTACTGGCTCAACCGATCGAATCGGTCTGACCGATTGGAAGAACCGGACGACATCATAATTATTTAAAAAATTAAATAAAAATATAAAAAATATTTAATAAAAAATAATTTTTTATATCACAATTCATATTCAAAATAAGTCATAACATATATAAGTTAAAAACCATAAAATCAAGTGAAACAAAATAATTTAAATTAACTACAACATAATATTTAAGGTAAAACATATTAAATAATAAATATAATTATATAACTATAATTAAAAGATAAATTTGGGGTTAAAAAAATCATAACAAAATTATATTGTTTGGTTTAATTTTTTTAAAAAAACAATTTCACATGGCTAAGAAATATAGAATATCATCCCAACTAACTTCTATAAATAATAGAGGTAATTTGGCATTCAAAATCATGGAGCCTTTTGGTGAGTATTGAGTGAACTATTCTTTTACTTCAATCAAGCTCGAATTTTAGGCTTCAATCGAGCTTCTAAATTTTTTTTGAGTTCAAGCCTTTTCGAGTTCAAGTTTCAATATTATATTTCGAGTTCGAGTTAAACTTCATAATTTTTAGCTCGTGAGTTTGAGTCGAGTTGAGTTTACTTTTAAATTTTTCAAGTTCGAGTCGAGCTCAGCAATACTCGAGTTCGACTTGGCTCGTTTAACAAACGACGTCGTTTGGTTTAATTTTTTTTAAAAAAAACAAAAAATTCTATTTTTTCCGGTTTTTAGCCGGTCCGATTTGAATGGTTCAACAGTTCTGGCCAGTTCACTAGTAGCGGTTCAACCGGTCTAAATTGAACCGGACTAGACAACAGTTTCTGGTTAAACCGGTTGAATCGATCAGTCCGGTCTGATTTTCAAAACAGAGTTCTTAATAGTATTATCATTAAAGTTTAAATATAAATTCTCTCTTTAAAAGTATATATAATATGTCTTACCATTATATCCTATCCGAACTGATATTATATAAATATTATAAGGTTATATAAATGTCTCAATCGATTTAACACATATTATTAATATACATAGCAATTTGGGCAATTGGACATAAAATTTATTGAAACATTGTTTCTAATATCACAAGCAACCTACCTATAGCATTATTTTATACACAATGGGTATGGATTTTTTTAATTAAACTTTTTGTTGCTGTATTTTTTAGTACAATGTGTATTAATATTTTTAAAATATCAACTAAATACTATTTTAATTCAACTTTCTTATGTTTTCTTTTTTTAATAACAATTAAGCTATAATTAATTGATGGTCAAAAGTTAAAAGCGCGTATATTATCTGACGAAACAATGCCAAACTTATAATTTTACGGTTATTTTAATTCAACTTTTAATTATTTTATTTTTTTAAGCATGAACCAAGCGATATCAACGGTTAAAGTGATAATTGTTATTCTTATAGGTCCGAGTTTGAGCACCAACGGTTGCAGGGCATTTAAGCGTTTATTGTCAAATGATTGAGAGTCTTTAAAACATATATTACCATTTGTAATCACCTTAGATTAATAAAAATAATAATTTTATTTGTTTATATTAATTAAACTATAATTAATCACTTGTCAAAAGTAAAACCACATATATGTGAACCGATATTATCAGATGGTAATTAAGTAATTGAATAATAGTAAGAATCCACAAGAACTGTAGAAATACGACTTGGAAGTTAAAATTTATGTTAGGGTGTGAACTTAAAAAATTATATTAAAAATCTATAAATTTAAAACTATAAATAAAATATACAAAATTAAATTATTAATATAAAATATAAAAAATATACTTAAACTATACAAAAATTTAAAACTTTCAGATATCCCTTGGTCGGCAGCTTTGGGGAACAAATAACCCTTGCATGTAATTACATGCACATGACGTGTGGAATGGAATACAGAGTACGGAAGAGAGCGATGAGGAATTGTTTAACAAATGATTTATGCTCCATCTTGCATTAATTATTATCCCGTTAATGGAAGATAAAATTGATTGACTCAATACAAAGTCTTTAACTAATAAACAAAACACAGGGGCAAGCAACAGATTTTACTCAAGCAAACATAAAACAATCTGCAGTGTACAAATCTGCAATTTGCTGAAATATAATCACCTGGCTGAGAGAGACGTGCAGAAACAACGAGAGCTTCTCCGGGATCTTTCAAAGGGACCATTGCGGATTTAATTAACTGTTTACACTTTTGTCACTAATTGAACTTGATTTGTTAAGGCAGTTTTTGACAATTACAATTTACAAGGATCATCTTTGTGTTCTTAGTTCTTACCCTCAGCAACACCTTCCACTCGGCCATGCTCGAAGTATCTGAGCAGCAGTTGCCGGAAATTTCTACCTCTGAAGATGACCCTCCTGCAACTGTAACGCCCTAACAAAATTTGTCTGTCTGTCTGCGACGGCGATAGCAGCCGCAATATAGCGGTAGCGGTGCTTTCCGTGACGGTTATTATATGACCGCGACACCCACAATCACCGCAATAACGCATGTTATGCTCGCAATTACAATAAACTCGACGTGACTGAAAACGCGACCGTAACTACAATTTCAATCCCTCATCAATTAATTGTATTATTCGTGTGTCAACCCGAGTAGTGTTAGACTGAGATTGTAGCTTGATTTAGGTTGGTGGGTTAAGATTTGCCTCGCTAGGTTAGGATTTGAGCTCAAAGTTAAAAAAAATGTGATTTTTATTAAGATCTTGAAAGTCGAGGAACTTGAAAGGTGTTTTACTCATTTGTGCAATTACATGCCTTTGAGAGACAAGAGCAGAGTGATTTCATATTTCTCCCCTTAAGCTTTTCGTTTTCCTCTTCATTTTCTTTCTTCTCCAAGCTGAGAGCTTTCCTATTTTTTAAAATCCACCTTTTTTCCACTTTAACTCATCATCCATCTCATTCCAAGGTAAACTTTTCCTTTTTTCAACCAACGTTAAGTTAAAAAAACATAAAAATTATTGTTCATAGAAAAAAAAAATGAGAATTTTTAGAGTTGAGGAAAGGAGGGGATTTTCCACTTTATTTCCATTAAATTCCATCTTTCAATATTCTTAAAGAGTAATGGTTAGAAATGTTTTTATTGGTATTTGGTTAGCAAGAGAAGTTAGTGAGTTTTCTTTAGCAAAAGGAAGAAGAAAGTGATTGTGAAAGCAAGAGTTGCACATTATCCTTTTCTTAAGGCATTCTTCCTCTGGAAACTTGGTTTAGAAAAGTTAGAAATGAGCTCTTGCATCGATTGCTTATACTGTTGAATTGTGAAGTTTAATGTTTAAGTTTATATTATATCTTTAGGCTTAAATATATAAAAGGTGTCTAATTTATGCTCGTTTTTCTAGTTTAGTATCTAACATTTATTTCATTCAAGTTTGGTGTCTAACATTTTATTCCGTTATTCAAAATGGGTCAAGCCGTGACGGACCGTTAGTTTTCTCCGTTAAGTAACATGTGTCACAATCTCGTAATTCTGATTTTTTTTGAAAAGATATTAAAAACATTATTATATTTATAAAAAAAACTCTTATTTCTTTTAAATTACAAAAAATCCAAAAATCCTAACATTAACCCGCCACTGCAGCCTTTTCTGGCCGCGATCACCACCACCAACGTAATCTTTGTCACCATCCTAGTTATAAGTTGTCGTCAATTGGCCGTCGAAATTTCTTGGGATTATGATTTTTATCCTAGGGTTCGAGGGGTATAAAATGTTGATTCGTAGTCGATCGACCATTGACCAGTCACGATTTCATAGGGATTTTGGTCGCCCGGGGGAGGTGCGGTCGGTTGGAGCTTTGTCGATAGTAAAGGGCGACGATTGGCATGGGTTTAGGGGTTGAAATGAAGGTTTTCAAAGTTTTGAGATTATTTCAAAATTTATGTATTTTCTTTTTTTTTAAAATACATATATTTTTTTTAAATTTTATATAAAAAATTTAAAATTATCAGATTGTGGCACGTGTTACTTAACGGGGAAAAAACTAACGGTTTGTCATGGCTTGACCCATTTTGAGCAACGGAATGAAACGTTAGGCACCAAATTAAAACGAAATAAACGTTAGGCACTAAACTAAAAAAACTGGCATAAGTTGTACACCTTTTATATATTTAAGCCGCATCTTTATAACTTCAATCACTTTACTGCAGGTTGGCACATTCCGGAGGGGTAGAGCGGTGAAAGGAAAGAAGCTGCCTCCAATCTGCAAGGAGGTTTCAGTTTGTGTCTGATTGTTAATTAGCCCATCTTTGTTGTAAATTTTCTTATTACCTAGCATGATATCTGTGAAATTAATATGGAAGTTGTGGAAGTTAGTGACCATTGTAGTTGTGATTAATTATGAAAAATGAGGATGTATTGAAAACAATTTCTTAACAACACTAGAGGAAACTACTGCCACCAAGTCCATGGTGTAACAGATTGTGAGCAATGTGATCCCTGGCATGCACAGCATTGGCGGGCCTCAAGTTATTCTCAAGTACAACCTCGTCGTCGAACAGATCAAACTGTAGCTGAGGGGCCATCTCCTCATTGTTCATCTCACAAATGTTATGCAATACACAGCAAGCTCCAAGCAGCATTGGCAACTCCTGGAGCTTCACCTCAATCCTCTTTTGCAAGCAAGACCACCTCCCTTTTAATCTCCCAAATGCCTCCTTTGCAACGTTTTGAATCTCACCCAGTTTTTCATTGAATCCATGTTGTGCCCAAGTCAAATTGTGGTGCGTATAAGGAACCAAAACACAATCCATCAAAGGGTACCCAGAATTTCCCACAATCCAAACATCCCTTAAATCCCCCTTGTTAACCCTTTGGAACAAAGCAGACTTCTCCAGCACCTTATCATCAGCCATCGAACCAGGCCATCCAATACAAACATCTGTAAAAACCCCTTTTTGGTCAACTACACCTTGGACTGTGATTGAATAACAAGTCTTCTGATTCCTCTCTGTATGCCTCCGGTTGAAATAAGCCCCCATGTTCTCCTTCGGTGCCATGATCGGCACATGAGTTGTGTATAAAGAACCACCTATGTTAGGAATCCCTGATATGGACTGGAATGCTTGTTTAGTGTCTTTCATTTTATTCTCATCAGGCCATTGAAGAAACTTGGGCATCAAAACAGTTCTTATGGCAGAACATACCTCCAACACCAGCTTATGACAAGTTGAAATCCCCAGTCCAAAGCGTTTGGAAACCAACCTAAGGGGCTCCCCTGTAGCCAATCTCCATATGCAAACAGCCACCCGTTGTCGAACCGGGATTGCATCCCTCAACAAAGTGTTCTTCTTCATCACCGCTGGCTCCAACTCCCGGCATACCATTCCAAACGTAGCTTTGCTCATCCGAAACTCCTTTCGGAACTCTTCCTCAGGAAAATCGGGGTGGTTGCAACAATCCCACCAGTCCTTGGATCGATCCTTCACCCACAACCTCCTCTGCTGACCCCCTTTGACATTCTCATTGCCATCCGCTGCAACAGTGGACGCCATAGCCATAGCCAAAGCAGAAGCTGATTTTCGGGATCGTTTTACAGTTGAACTATCCAACTGATCAACTTGAAGATAATGGTGTTGAAGCTGATTGTAGTATTCATTCATTGCTTCAAGTTTTCTTTTGTGATTGGATTCAAACAAGGCTTTGTGTTGTTGGGATTCAGCTATCCATTCATCTTCCTCTTGCTTTGCCTCTTCTTCTAGTAACAACAAGGAGGCAAGAATATCTCCGTATCCACTCTTCCTCAATGCTTCTTCATTTAACAACCCATTTCCATCACCTCCGCCCCTGGAATCCTCATCATCTCCACGCTTTCTGTTGAAACCATTGTCAAGTTCCTGGAACCAGGAGCTGCTGATACTATAAGAATAGTCTTCTGGACTGAGAAATGTGAAAGACATATTCTGTATGAAACTACCAAATGTGAGAAGTAGAGATGGAAACTAAGGATATTAGAGATTTAAATATAGAGAGAAGAAGAAAAAGAGAGTCAAGGCACTTAGGAAGCGTGTGGGCATCTTCAAGCTAATGTGAACGCGTTGGTCTTCTTTTTGACGTATGACGATGACTGACTGCACTTTTTCCTTTTCAAGTTTGATCAGAATTTTACGCGGTTGAAGGTGAAGCGACTGCCTTTGATGGCTAACTATGGCTTTTTCCTGTTCGTAGTCTCCATATTGAAATATAAACTCCAATAAGATTAGATGTTTAAATAAAATTAAATAATTATTTTTTGTATTTATAAGATTCAAAATCTAAACATTACTTGAGAGAGAACATATGTCAATGGTTTGAACAACCACAAAGCAACAGATGGAACGAGGCACTTACCCTTCCACTCTAGAATGATGGTTAAAGGCGATCTAATTTGACCCGTATTTTTTGATGACTAAATAAGATATATGATCAAAAGATTTAGTTGATTTTTTAATAAATTTTATTTTTGATCCTTTATCAATATATTAAGATCAAAAGACATTAAATGTATATTGATCTTTTATCCTTGTTAAAAATAAAGGAGAGAAACCCATTCTCTTCTTTTTTATTTTTTTCTTCTCGACTTTGATTATCTATTCCATGTATAGTTATTTGAAATTTTGATAATCATCTTAATTTATAATTCTTCATCAAAATTAAAAAAAATAGATTCACGTTGATAATGCCAATTATAACATTTCTAATGTTATGACCTCAAATATAAAAGATGGGAAAATGAATTAAAGGAAAATGGGAGGGGGAAATGGAAAGTTTGGCACAAGTTTCATAAATTGAAGGCTGCTATGGGAACTTGCTTAATAACATCATTCTTTTATATTCATCGCTCGGCATAAATCATGATGGTGTTTAGTTAATTAAGCATCATAAATCAACTAAACATGTATTATGGGGTTGCCCAATAAAGAAAATAAGCCTAATTCCATAACGTATCCCTCTATTATATATTCTTTGCAAACTAAGTCATTCTTATTATGATTTTATCATTTCTAATTTATTTGAACAGGTTGGGTCGGGTAAGGATCAGGCCCGGACATACAAGTTTTTGAACGAAACAGCTCTACTAGCAGCGCTCAAGTCAAAAACCCGTCGAGAAATTAACTAGAAATAATCCACTCCCTACTCTCCGCCCATGGCTTCCGCCGGGACCATTCCGATGACAAGCACTCAATCCACCGCCGGAAGTGGTGCCCAATCACATCCTCCGATGTCCACGCCCGCTTTCCGTACATTCCTCTCACGTCTCACGTCCTCTATCCGTCAGGGATTCTCTCAGCGCCGTCCATGGTACGAGCTCATCGATAGGACTGCCATGGCACGTCCCGATAATCTAACGGACGCCTATTCGCGGATCCGAAGAAACTTTTCTTACTTCAAAGTCAATTACATGACTCTACTCGCAGTTGTACTCGCTTTCTCTCTCCTATCTCATCCCCTATCCCTCCTCGTCCTCCTCGGCCTCCTCGCCGCTTGGCTCTTCTTGTACTTGTTCCGACCGTCAGATCAACCTCTCATAATATTCGGTCGTGCATTCTCAGATCGTGAGACGCTTGGGGCGCTGGTGGTTTTCACACTCTTCGTCGTGTTCTTGACCAGCATTGGGTCGCTCTTGATCTCCGCGATCTTGATTGGAGTTGCCATAGTTTGCTTACACGGTGCGTTTAGGATTCCGGAGGACTTGTTCTTAGACGATCAGGAGCCTGGCAACTCCGGATTCCTCTCCTTCCTCGGCAACGCCGCCACCTCTGCTGCTGTTGCGGCGGCCCCTGCAATTGCCTCGCGGGTGTGAACTACAGGTTTTGCAAGCGGCACATTCGTTTATGGTAAATCAAAAACTATTTACTGTTTTCATAATAGATTGGAGTACTCAATTGTAGCTTTGCTCTTATTTTCATTTCGACTTGGATATGAACTTGGATTAAGAGTTAGATTCCACTGTATTTTGATTTGGATGTATAATTTGCCTCTTGAATTTTTCGATTTTGGTTTCGATGAGATTAAATTTACCTTTAAACATGTATTCCTTTTCTATTTATCATGGAAGCTTTATGCTGTTGGTTTTCATGTTAGTGATGAGAACTTAGGAGGTTTTGGAGGGAATTGTTGGTCACATTATTAATGTTTTCTGTTGCATGTGGCTGATTCAAATTTTTTTTTTTTACTTACTCTTGGATGATGGGTTGCTTTTGAGTTTGTGTGATATAGCTTAGTAAAACAGTTTTCACATCTAATATGTTCATGGAGCTTCTTAGCTTCTCAAAGTGCTTGCAGTTCCTATTTGCTTTAGAATTATGAGTACGTGCAAAACGTAGCTTACCAAATATTTTGATTTGTTTATGTTTCAAGTCACATAATCTGAGACAGAGCATGCAGTAGTGATAGTTATTTGACAGTTAAACTGGAATTCTTGGGCTAGGTACAGTGAGTTGTTTCTTGATTTACCAGAAAATGGGTGTTTAGGGCATAAATTATGCAATTCTAAATATCATCTTTAGTATATTTCCCGCAGCCCTTCCAAGTGTTAACAAATATGTTGTTTACTGCCAATATAATATTTTAACCATCGACTGCAGAAAGCTTTTTTTCCCTTCCCCCTTATTATCCGTATGCATAGTGTTCCATTTATTGTGCAACACGCTTTATGTGCCATTTCTACTGATTTATGTAGCTTCCATTGTCTCCCATAAACCATTATTTACTGCTGGTTACAAAGTTCAAGCCAATTTCAGTTCCGGTAATATGTTCTGCATCAATTGCTGACTCTTGCCTTTTCTTTTGGATAGACTAAGATTGGGATGATGGTGTCTTCTAATTTCCCTTTTATAAATTTGAAGTATCCTGGAGAGGACGGTTGAATTCGTTTCCTTGGTTCATGGTTTGCATACTTGGATGATCCCTATAAACCTCGAGTGAGGTTACATGTTCTTTTATAGTCTTCAATTTAGGTGTCCTTTGGCCTTGGGATAGGGATTCATGTTCTGTTGTGTATTAATGAATTGTCTAGTACCTTGAACATCTAGAGATTTATGTTTGCTAGACTATAAAAATGGAAATCAGAACCCAGACTCCCCAAACGTCCTGAATGGTTCTTCTCAAGTCTAGCGCCCTGAAAATGGAAGAATGGAAACCAAAGATGATGCCATGATGGGCAATAATAACTCATCTGAGCTGCTTGATGTTCTTCAAGTGCTGCCAATACCCTAGATACATGATGGTAAATACATTTAGATGTAGTTCAAAGAGGGACGACGGAAAAGAAGAGTGTTGTCCGGTCAAACAAGAAGGGCATTGAATCGAATGTCCACAACACCACCTCAACCGTGAAATTTGCAAGGTTGTTTTTCATCTAATGTCGCGTACCATCAATGAACGTGGAGTAAACCCGTATTGGTCTATTGAATGAAGAGCCTGAGCTATTGACAAGGAAAGTATCTCCATGTGAAAACCATCTATAACTAGATATATATGATAACTTGATAAGGACAGTCCAAAGAGCTTGTGCATGATCAAACCTGGTTTTCATCATTAACTGCAGTAAAAAAATATCTAAAAGTAAAACAAAATAAAAAATTAGCCAATCCAAAACCGGTGTACAACATAAAAGAATAGAGAAAATGACATGTCCATCTCAACCTCGTATTAGTAAACAAACTCTAACATCATTGCTTTACCTTTTAGCACAAAACCAAAGAAGCCCTTGTCATGGGTACTACGGTCCATTTACAAAAAGTCTGACCAAGACTTTGTACTTGTGGGTTGTAGGATATGTTGTAATCAGCAGCAGGTATTTCATAATAATGGGTAGTCATTTCAAAAAAAAAAAAAGAGAACACACAGCCGTTAGAGGGAGCGGCAATAACAGATGAGAGCATATATTGGATCTATGAATGAGCATTATGAAAGTTAGTCAAAGTTTAGATAAAAAACATTGAGAAATGGGGAGAAATTTAGTGAAAATGTAGCCGTTAGGCATTGTGTGAGTAATAGTATGCCTCTACTCCCCTTACTCTCTGATCCACCTGACCTGACTGAATTGTCTGCTGTTCAGCTGTTGTATAGTTTTTATATTATTTAGCATCTTCATGTGCCCTTTCACTGTAAACAAAAACCCACCTCTTGGTCTCTCTTCCTCATCAATCTTTGCTACAAAACCCTCTTCAAGTGCCAGTCATTCCACCTTGTTTCATTCATACCTCCATGTCTACACAATCAAACTTGAGGGAAAACAAAAACCCATAAACAAATTTAGATATCACTTCCCTTCTTTCCTTCCTTCTTAATGGGTATAGTTAAACACAATTTTGGGTTTTTTGTTTGCAGAGATGTAGATTGGAGCTGCATTTCAAATGATAAAGAGGATAAATGGAAGAATACTTGTCTATTTTCCCACTTTTTCTTGCTGCTCCTCTGCTTCTTCTTGTTCGTTCCTACAGTTTCAAGTCAGGCATGGGATGGTGTCATTGTCACAGCAGCTGATTTCCAAGCACTTCAAGCGTTCAAGCAGGAGTTGACTGACCCAAAAAGGTTCTTGAAAAGCTGGAACGATAGCGGCTATGGTGCTTGTTCCGGTGGTTGGGTTGGGATCAAGTGTGCTGGAGGGCAAGTCATTGTTATCCAACTCCCGTGGAAAGGATTAGGTGGCAGAATCACTGACAAAATCGGCCAGCTTCAAGCTCTTCGTAAGCTTAGCCTCCATGATAATCTCATTGGCGGTTCCATTCCTCTAACTTTAGGCATTCTCCCTGATCTTAGAGGTGTTCAGCTATTCAATAATAGGCTTTCGGGTTCCATTGCTGCTACTTTATGTTCATGTCCTTTGCTACAAACCCTCGACCTTAGTAATAATTCGCTCACCGGAACAATCCCCGAGAGTCTTGCAAACTCCACTAAGTTTTATAGGCTCAACATCAGCTTCAATTCGCT